GGGCCATCTGCTGTGATTGGTTGGGGTGAGAGAAGGAAGACAGGATAAAGACATGCTGTGGAAGAGAGACAGAGGTTAATAACAGATATGATTCAGTGCAGAGAGGTCTGTTAACACATAAAACACACTGTACACCGTCTGTCAGCAGGCACGGCACCGTTAATGATAACTAATGACTAAATGCACCTGTAGGCCACCTGATCCAGCTCCAACTATAAGCTTTACCAAAAAGGAAAGTTTTTAATCTTAAAAGCAGAGCAGGTGTCTGTCTCCCAGTCCAAACTGGTAGTCCTGGTTCCACAGACCTCCCATTCTACCTTTAATGTAACCAAAGAAGCGAGTAGACGTGGACGTAAATGATAAAAGTTTCCTTCAGAGTACCTCTTTGGACTTGCTAAAGTGTCAGGACCAGTGACAAGTGCCTGGACTGGTGTCCTGTAGATAAATATCAGACTGTGCTTTAATAAAGTAACAACACACAGTTTCTCAAACGTACTAGTTGAAAACAGCTGATTGTGAGCTCATCGTATGTCAGTGAACATGGGAAACTAACCCCGCCATGTCAGCATGCTGATATTTGTCTTTAACTCATTCAAAAGTCGGGGAAAGGTTTCGATCATCTCAAACTTCTCTTTCGTGTCTTTGTAGTCTTCAGACGTTTTCCAAACCACATTTTTGTGGTGCTTCTTTGGCAGCGTTGCTTCTTTGTCATTGCTAGTAGAGTTTCTGTTCCAGTGACCACAAACACAGGAAGAGTGCCTGTCATCATCCCACCAAACGGCCATTAAAGGAAAAAAATAGTCTGTCTGTAAATCATTTCAAACAATGTGACAAACATAACTATATACACAGCAGTAAACACTTGCATGGGCTCATAGTCTCAAGCAATATAATAATGCAAAACTATGTGCTGAAAAAACAGTAAACACATCTTTGGCGTCTTCACTGGTATAAACAGCTCCTAATTACGTCTTTATGAAGGACACTGCTTATCGGGCTGTAACAGCCCAGAGCCGCGTTACGAGTGGAAATAAAAAGATCTTAAAAAGGCTTTGCATATAAGAGCAGCTGACTGGATTGGAAGTCTTTACTGTAAATGTCTCGTTGTGGCCAGATCACAGGTCAGATTACTGACCCGTGTTTGTCATTTGTCTCCTGTGTGGGGATCCCGATTTCTTTGCAGCTTTACAAGCAAGCCGGTCGTCCAGATGTAGTGAGTAGTGGTTGCCGTGGAAACAGATAGCGATCAGCTGCCTGCACAGGTGCCTCAATGAGAAAGATGCTCCTATTGAGGCCTTTTAAGTTTGTCTCTTCATCCCTTCATACCGCGCAGATTAAACACATAAAATCTTACTGCTGTTATATTTCCATTAACTGATAATATAATACATAACATTCAAAGTCAATAACTAAACTGTGCTCAGCACCAGTACAGCAGCATGATGGGCATAGATGCAGACTGTGCTAACATATGCAGAAAGAAGAATTATAAAAGACTTTTATTCTGAAAATCCATGTTTTTGGTGCTCATACAAGAGCTCATGAAGCCACTGAATATTTAGTGACAATGATAATATACTTAACTGATGCACTACACCTATAAAGACCGACTACATGGTGTTTCATTGTATTTTATATTTACCTGGTGTAAAGTAGGAACTCAATAATGGTTAAACAGAATCACCATGTTTGATGCTCTGATGTCTCGGAGGATGACCCACTGATCCTCCACTGTATGTTCACAAGCTCAGTGATGCTGAATCAGCACGGATGTAAATACTAAGTGATTAAATGTTGTGATTGTAACACAAGGATACGCAGATTAGCTTCTTCCTCCTCTCCACAGTACTTCTGGCTGTTTGTGCTCTCCAGAGGACTCGTGGGCATCGGAGAATCCAGCTACTCCTCCATCTCTCCCACCATCATAGGAGACCTCTTTACTAGTAACACCCGCACCATGATGCTCTCTGTCTTCTACCTGGCCATCCCCCTGGGAAGGTAAGATGCAGACAGGGCCTGGGTTGTTGAAGCTGATGAGCTGTTTTGGGAGCTGAATGTTCATGAAACGACACCTCAGTGATGACCATGAACGTTTTCATCCTTTCATCACACCTAGCCCGTCCTTCAGATGTTAAATCCAAAGGAACTACAGAGCTGTCATATAGATAATTGAACTTTTCCTCACATTGGGAAGGTCACGCTTATGTTTGTTTTTTTCAATTGAACCTTTGCAGAAAAATACTTTCAGTTGGCTCTGCGAAGCTTAAAGCAGGGTTGGAGCTGTGACATGGAGATTTGTGAGTAGGAGGTATTATTAAGCTCGAGTCTCTAGGCTCTGCAATTCATTTAAGCAGATAAAGAAGCTCAGGGAGAAAACAAACAGAGCCAAGAAATAAAAGACCAATGTACCTGCGACGCTCACTTTAGAGACGTCCCATTCGCCTGAGCTGTCGCAGGCTGTGCTGTTCTCCATCGTTTGCGTGCTGGAAGCGCTGCGTAGTCTGCAACGCTCTGAACATGAGCGTTATTTGACATTTCTGTCATTAGATCCAGGCTGGAGACAGACGAGCAAAGGGAAGCCTAATCTGCCCTTTGAGTGCTTGTGTTATGACTCGCCAGAGTTGTTTGGGTCACGGTAAACTGCCCAGCAACACTGACAATGGGAGGTGAAAGAGGGAGCCTCGGCGTGGCGCGTCAAACATCCTATCCACTCTCCCGCTTGTTTGTCTTTACTGACGCTGCGGTGACCATTTTCAGGAAATGACCCAGGAATTAGACTGGATTCATAGGAAACGGCTTCCCCTGCCCTTCATCCTTTGTTTGTTTGTTTTTTCAAACCTTTTTGAAACCGGCCCCACAGATATGTTTCTGGGTCTCGCTGCCGTTTGAGTCGGTCTGTTTTTCATGCTCAGGTTTTATTGTTGTGTCGAACTTTCCAAACGCTCTCTGATAAGATTAGCTGTTAGTCACTCACTGGAAATATCATATGCTGTCTGAGCACGTTTATGCTGCTCTGTTATTTTTGGAAGACTAGCCGACGACGGCAGACTGTTTCCACCTTCACTGTGCGTGCGTATAAAACCAGCTAAACATGTTTTGTCTCTTTTAGCAGCAAGTGCTGATAACAAAGTTGTTGCGCTCAATTGATCCTCTCGCTAGTGTTGCAATTTATTATTCTGATGGGAAACAGCATGTGGGGAGAGACTCTGCACATGCTGATAACTCAGAAATCACAAAGGCTGACTGGCTTTCTTCACTTTTCCAGTCAAGAGTTTAAACAAACTGTGAGTAGAAGCCGCGCAAAGTGTTGGACGCCAGGCTCGGGGCCAATGTGTCACTGCTATCTGGGGCAGAGTGTCTGTCCGTGGAAGCCATGAGCTCCGTCAAGCTGTGATCGTGTTTAGTGTCAGGCAAGACTTAAAGGCCTTTACGCACCAGACGCGTTTATATTGTGTGTTAACATTTTTCAGATTGTTTCGATTTGGAGGATTTTTTGCATGATCTGACCAATCAGACCGCTGCATTTGGAAACAAGTGCGATCATAGCGTTTGAATATGCAGCGATATGAAAGTGTAAAGGTAATCAGATTCCTCTGCGCCCTCACACGTGACTCCATCTCTGCCAGTAAGAGCTCAAACTGCCCCGCTGACGTCGGTACCAAAGTGATGGTGGATCAAGGAGAACCTTTTCTTCTTTACAAACATCACTATCACTTGATGTCGAGTCCACTTTTGTTGTGTCCCCAGGTTAAATGACAAATTTGCATCTGAGAGATTCAGAATGTTGTGTACAAAGTTTACAGTTAGCCACCGTTCAGTTAGTTCGCCCATTTTAACTCCATTTTTCCAGGTAACGTTCCCGTAATGCAGCGTCATAAACGTGTGACAAACAAAGAAAACTTAATTTAGAGACGTGTCTCAGTGATGATCGTCAGCGACGTTTTCCATCCAAGCCACTTTACAGTCTTCAGTTTTAGTGGCAGAGATCAGTGTAGGTCAAAAGTGCTCAAAGCCTCTGAAAGTTAACGATTCATGTTATTGTCACACTCGTCGGGTTTTCTGTTGACATGAGTATGGTCATGCTGGATAAACTGGCATCAGGGGTGTAAAGCAGCGTCTTTTCTGACAGTTTCATCATTACTGGCAGTTACGTCACCGCCTACAAGCTCAGCAGCTTTGTATTTACTAATCCCCAGGTGCCCAGTTATCAATCTGAATCCTTTTTGTCCTTGAAACGCTGATGCCACGCCGATCTCACCCGATCTGATCCAGCGACAGTTCCCTCAAACGTTTCACTGCAGCGTTCATTCGTTAAGCACAAAACACCATTTTTTTAGCAAAAGCAGTGAAATTACTGTGAGAGTAAAGCCTGCGGCCAGAAGACAACACTGGCTCTGTGTCCTCACATTAGTTACTTTACACCTGCGTTTAGTGGCTGCTCGCACAAATCACCCACGCAGAGACCAAACAGATTCCGGTGCTTTGATCAGTAACACGTCATTAGTTCCCAAACACTCAGCAGCTATAATCAGACTACAAACAGGATGTGTAGTAGTGCGGGCTTCAGCTTCAGTGATGGAAATGACAGACTCAGCTGACACATGTCACTGAGTCACAACTGACTGACCACTTAACTAATTACACATAATTCCAGTGATTGTTTGTCGAAGCAGCCACTGATCAGGGGAAGAAGAGCGATCCGAACAGGTACCATCAGCGGGTCTGAATAAGGAACAACAACAACAGGTCTGTGGGCACAAATGCACTGATGAGGGCAGAGACCGCGGCAGAATGGCCACAAGCTGAGAGAAGAGCAACATTACCTCAGATGAATGAAGCAGCTCAGGACCTGTTCTGTTTAGTAACACAGCAATAGGCTCGATTTACTCAGAAAGACTAGAAAAACCCGGCCTGTGTATTGAAGTGTTGCAGATTCAGTGTCTCACCTACACACTGCAGGATCATTTTAAGAACGATTGCTCGATGAGATCGTTGTACCCAAACAACCTTTGCAGACGTGCACATCACATCATGAGTGTGCTGCAGGGAGAATGACGCCATTATGCTGTTATGTGAAGATGGACCCAAATGTTTCTGTGATTCGGTAAACTTGAGCAGAGCAGGCTGACAGTAAAATGCTTTATATGTTGTGTTTTGATGCATAACCTGTTTGTCCCTCTGCAGCGGGCTGGGCTACATCCTGGGCTCCAGCGCCAAGGAGGCTGCAGGAGACTGGCACTGGGCACTGAGGGTAAGAGCGTCAGCATCATGTGGGGTGGTGGGAGGGGGCACTGGCTCAGACGTTTGGGGAACAGAGGCTCAAATCCTCCTTCAGCTTCCTGCAGAAGCCTTTCTAAAAACATCTTCTTCCATTACGCGTTCACACCAAAAAGACATTTGCTGCGTAGGTTCTGATCGGCTTCAGCAGCAGGAACGTGGATTTGTAATAAACACGCTGCAGTCGCTGTAAACATTTAAGTAACATTTTGCTCATGGAGGCCATGTCTGCTGAACGAGGCTAAATGGCAGCTCTGGGAGGTCTTTGTCACTACAGGAGATTAAGGAAATACAACATTTGGTTTGGCCATTGTGTCACTGTTGCACGTCTCGGGTGCATCCGCAGGTACGAGCTGTGTTGTCTCAAACAAATGTCTCCTGACGTCACACCGTAAAGCAAAGCGACAGAGATGATGTCAGAGCCCGATTCAGCAGCTGATGCAAAGATGCTGTTTATAGAGGGCAAGAATCACCCGCAGGAAATGAGCTGCAACAGGCGCCGCAGGCATTAAACGTCTTTGTAGGGCAGCGATGGAGCAATGAGCCGGGCATGGCGCTACAGCTGTGACTAAGTACTGTTGGGCAAATACCCTAAAGGTGCTCTGACGAATTAACCTGGATCTCGTTTGATAAAAGGCTCATTTCTGCTCCCGAGAGAAATCTATCTGCAGAAACCTGCTGATGGGATATTGAAAAAACTCATTAATAGACTGTTTTGTGCTGCAGCAGGAGAAAGGTGCTCTATTAGGAGCATAAAGCCAAAGCTGAGACCAAATGTTTGGAGGTGAACCTCAATGAAGCCGCCCGGCCTCAAAGGAGGGGAACCCCAGCAGGGCTCCTCGCGAACCGCTAACTTCAGGCCCATCCTTGGAACGAAGTATGACCTCACCCTTCTTATGAAGTGACTGGAACACATGAAACTTTCTCGCCATGGAAGAGATTCCTGGACGCGGACAGCTCGCTTGGCAGGAAGTTCATTTCTTCCTCGCCGTGGCGGAGCTTTAAAATAAAAACAAAGAGCAGGCTGGCTTGTTCCAAAGCAGCCACAATGACATTCCAATAAAACAATCTCAAAGCCAATTAATCACCGGTGTGGCATGCAGGGAAAACAAATAACAAGACATAAAACGGGTTCTTTGCAGCGGTATCCTGCTTGAAGGGAAAAACACTGCAGCGCTTCCGTTTGTTTTTGCCCAGCGTGTTCCAGCTAGCTTCCTGAAAATATGGATGGGATGAAGCAACAAAGGAGGTCCAAAGAAGGAGTAGCAGGAGAGGGCAGTAGCTCATTTATTTGATAGCCCACCACCCATACAGGAAGCGTCTAATGGGCCCTGTGGGAGTCGAGGTTAAAGGTCACAGCCCCCTTGAGTTTTAGAATAATTCTGAAGGAACATAAGTGCCAAAAAACCTGATATTTGTTTCCCCTTCAGTGAGACCAGCTCCAGCTTCCATTAGGCCGCCTCGCTCTGAGACGCGTTATAAGATTCCATGTAGACGGCGGCGTAATCCTCACACTGAGAGCGCACACACAGACGCACACAGACACACACATCCTCACACTGAGAGCGCACACACAGACGCACACAGACACACACATCCTCACACTGAGAGCGCAGCCACATTATTAACTGCATTATGAGCCACGGCAGACACAGA